GGTGAAATAGAGAAAATAAGCAATGCAGGCACTTTCACTGCTGCTTTAATTATAGTTTTACAAGAGGTTTGACTTTTCCTAATGGTGAGGAGGCATGGGAGATTGTGTATGTGTGTGGGAGGAGGGTGAGAAAGTCATTGTTCAGCAGGTGATTTATAAGAAAGTGGGCCTCCCAGGCTTTTCCCCACAGTGAGCTTCCTTGTGTTTTGCGGCTAAAGCCTAGTTCACACTGCACGACTTAAAACGTCGGCAGATCGCTGTGCTGTTCAGACTACATGACTTCTTGGCTGTCTTGAAGTCGTTGTGGTGTTCACACAACGCGACACTATGTAAATGTTCCGCAACAGGGGGTCACACACAGTGTTGTAGTCTAGTTTTTTGTAGTGGGTATACTCTAATATTCCCTCCCAGCCTCATACTCACCGTGCCACAGCGACACCCCATAAGCACAACCACACTCACTAATTCATACAATATGCATCTATGCAACTGAGAGCATTCTGAAAGACTGCTTATGTGATGTCAACATGTCAATTTATTATAAGTAACAGAACACTTTAACAGCCAATGACATTTACAGCTGGGGAGACTGGACTGATTTCTTACCGTTTAGTGTTAATCATTTAACTCAGCAAGGTACATTTATACTTATCGGTCTTAGTACACGATGTAACTACAGAAGAGTAAAGTTTTAAAATAGGAAAAATATAGAAACTCTTTGGTCATTTTTGAGCGAGATGCTAACGGTCTAATCAGATTCAATGATCTATGCTAAGCTACAGCTAAAAGTGCTACCGCCAGACCCGGAGATCGGCTGAATGAATTCGAAAACGGTAAAACTCAACTGTTTAACTCTAGGGTAGTTGGAAAATAAGCCTATTTTCAAAAATAGTGTAGTGTTCCTTTAAGGCTACATTTATTTATTTAAATATTCTTTAAAAATCTTTAAAATACAGTAATATTGTGAATTTTTTTTTCTTTTTTTTTCAGGATTCTTTGATAAAGTTAAAAAGAACTGTATTTATTTGAAATAGTAAAGACATTTACAATGTTACAAAATAATTTGTTGCAATTTAATGCAGATCAATTTAATGCATCCTTGCTGAGTGAAAGTATTAATTTCTTTCAATAAAATAAACAAAAGTCTTACAAAATAAGGCCATATGAAAACATACTGGGATGAACTGATTATATAATTTGGATTACATTTAAAATAATAACAAATTCTAATAGTAAAAATAATATATCCATAAGTATAATTTAGCATAAAAGTAAAACATTTTATAAAAATGGACCCTGGAATTTTTCACTTTTCTAATTCTCAGTGTTTACAGAACAAACTGAAAATGTCAGCTGAGCTTCCCTTCCTCTAGGCCAGTGGACCTGTACGTTAAAACTGAGGAACCTGAGCAGTGGTGTATCATACCATCTCTGTGTGTCTTACCACAGACATCACTGATCAAAGCAGCAACTTTTCTTCCAAAGCTCTCCACAGGCCTTTCAGACTCAAAACATTTAGACAGAGCTAGCAAAGTTCAGTCACAGGAACCAAGCTTCAGTCATACAGGCACGTTTCCTGAATTTTAAATGATGTTCTAGATTCCAGGAAGAAGTAGCTGCGTTGTTCCTCGTACTGCCTCAGGTCATGACCTCTGAACATTACTTACACGTGGGACAGTCGAGGTTACTTTAAAGAAAAGCTGTCTATGGTGTGAGAGTTGCTGTGAAAGGTCTGCCATTGATGGAGTCCTATTGTGTGTCTCTGTCACTCTGTGACCTTTTGGGCCTTGTGAAGAATAATAAATGCTTAAAAACTAAATAAATCAATGTCTCCAGTCAGTAAACAGACTGAGGTGAATGAGGGAATGAGGTGAGTCCTTTCGTTCTTTGGGAATCAAATCTATTAGGACTTGATCCACCTCCCATTACAGTATTAATATGTACAAGACACAAGATGAATGAGGCGCACCTGCTGCACCACAACAACTGCAACAGTGCCAAATATTCATATAACATTCCAAGAAACCATTTTCAAATGATAAAATATAGAGATTTACACAGCAAAAAGAAAAGTCACTGATACAATGAAAGCATGAGAGGACTGCTGAAAGAAAATATCTGAATATATCAACCTCAAAAGAAAAATATATACTCACTCATTTGAAAAGATTATTTAAATTAAACACTTATACATTTGTATTGATTAAAATTAAAAACCATAACATTTGTTGCTAAATGTGTAATACATTGAGGGATGGTAAACTTTACACACACACATATTACAGTATGTATATACATGTGTATATGTGTGTATATA